CCTGCCCCGTGCCACCCCTCGGGCAGAGCCGGCGCTCCCTCGGAGGCGGCAGGGCATTTCAGAGACGGTCGCTTCTTCCCACAGCGTCGCTTCTGTGCAAGACACCGACCGTTCGCCGGCAGGAGAAGAGCTACCTCCATCTTACTCTCCCTTTTGAGAAGATAAGTTCACCAAGCAGCTGGACTCAAAGCTCTTTTCCAGGATGGCTGCTCAGACCCAAATGGCACGCTCCTGACACCGGCAGTGACTCAGAGATGCTAATTCAGCACGCTGCCTGAAATAGCCTGTGCTTCGGGCTTTGCTCCCACCCTTGGTTTGCCCTTCTGCTATTTATTATGGTTGGGGAGAAACGGAGCAGCTTGTGCGGTGCTGCTCTACTTGTAGCTTCCCGGTCCTGGCTCTACCCAGCTGCTGGAGTTCCTGGGAATGTACCTGTAGACACCCCTGGTGGCATCTACAGGCAGGACCTCGGTCACCAGGAGAGGTGAGTAGGTGAGGTGGGAAAAGCAATGGTTCAATTCCCCTCTTTAAAAGCAGCCGCCTGCTCAAACTGCTCTTGTTCCATAAATCACGTGCCGCGGGAGCTGAGTTTTGTTTGCAGAACAACCGCCGGCTCCCGTGGCACGTGCTCGTGACCGTTATCCTGCAAAGACAAAAAACCTGCTGTGGCTTCCCAAGGGTCGCTAGGAACACCGCGAGCCTGCAGCGACCACTGCGCGACGTCACCGAAAGCGCCGCAGTGCAGGCTGAGGCCCCGCTCTGCAGCAGAGGTTATGGCAGTTTGGGGGGAAGCAGCACGCCGAACTAGCCGAGCATCCCCGAAAGGGGATGACCCTTTCACGAAGGCTGCTCTGAGCAGAGGCTCAGCATGGACGGGAGTGGCTGGGACGAGCCCTGGATCAATTACAGCTCTGCAAAGTTATTTTTAATTGGACTGGGGATGCCAGAAAATAAACACTGGGAGCTGCTGGGAGAGCACGGTCACGACCTCTTGTTCAACCAGGCCATTTACTGATCTTCTTCGCACTGGCAACAGGTTGGCAAATACTGAACCTGGGTCTAACGAAGCAAAGCCCAGCTTTTTCTGGGTGCGGGAGCGCGTGGCAGAGCTAACACCCTGTTTCCCCGGGGCTGGCCCTTTCCTTCTCCTCCAGCAGCCATCACAGGAGCTAAACCACCTGCCCAGGCTTGCAAACTGCCGGCGGTCCCGCAAAGAGCTTTCAGTCCAGCTGCCGCAGCACGCGACGGATGGGATGACACCATGCAAGTCAGAAGGCAAGAAACCTGAGTGCACTAACGGGCAGCGGCTGGTGCTGCAGTAAAAGGCTGAGGTTGGCAGTGGAGGCTGCAAGCGGGTCGGCTCTTACCTGACCACCTGCAAAAATGACAGGGGTGGAGGCGGGCTTTGGGCGGTAGGGAATGGTGGCACCTTTTGGTGGGGACTAGGAAAAGGGACAAGGAGAGGGAGAGAGAACATTAGAACAGCTTTCCTGAAACGGCAGCAAAAAGAGCGTTAGATAGCACCCGACGGAGCACGGCCCCCGGGGCCGCTGCCAGCAACACCCGCACCAGGCAAACCGCATTTCTGGACAGGAGGACACGGGGGAAATTGGTGTTTAATGGACAACGAGGACAACCTGGGGTACAGGAGATCCCCTGCTAAGGCATGGGCCCCCTAAATCGCTTCCCAGACCTCTGCTGCCTCCCTTGCCTTCGCTCTGCCCTCTGCAAACCGGTCACCTGGTCTAGACCCGAGCCTGACGCTGGAACGCAGCGCCCTACCCAAAACACTCCAAGGAGACCCTCAAGGTGCAGCGAGGTGGGGAGGTGCACCCACGGACCAGGCTTTTCATCCCTGGGTGCCGTGAGCCTCCTCGTGCAGGGGCTTTCTGTGCAGCCCGAGAGCTCTTGCACATCCACAGTGTGCCCCGGCGTCATACCAGCCCCGCTGAGCAGCAGGAGCCATGCACGCCGTCGTCAGCACGGGCATCAGCAGGAGCGAGCAGCCCGTCTGAGCGACCCGGAGCGATGCTTAAGCTCTTTGGCCCCTCTCATCTTCCTTGCTGCTGGAACAGGGTCACCTTCAGGACTTGGTTTGGTCTATCGCCATCCAAGCTGGGATGTGGCTGGCCACACAGTGGATGCTGCAAGGCACCGTCGTTGGGGTCAAAACCTCCCATGTCCCGGTGGGACAAGTGGCAGTGATCACTTTGGCCAGGGTGCTGAGCTCTGGAGGAGCCAGTGGCCAGAAACCCCTCTCAGATGGCAACACCAGCGTTTCCAAAGACCTCATCCTGGAGCTGGATGGTCGCAGCAGTCCGTGTGAGCAGCCAGCCAGACGCCAGCAGCAGAGGCACCGTACGCACTGCCAGCCCTCCTCCTGCAGCAGCGGGACCAGGACATCTCACTCCTCCCTGCTGTGGCCTGACCGGTACCTGGGTAGGTCCGAGCAGAAGCTGTAGTGATGCACATCAAGCTGTAGCAACGCATCCCACTGCACGGGATCTCCTCACCCCAGTTATCTCTATTGTTTTTTTCTTGAGCATAACTAACAGCCCAGAGAAGAAATTTTGGAGATTTCTAGAGATCAGAAGAGATCAGAAAAAAGCCTCCTGGTTCTACCCGAAGTGAAATGACCCAGTTGCTGCTATGTAAAGACAGGCAATATAAATTATGCTATCTCATGGAAAATTCTTCATTTTTTCTGTACATTCTTCTAGATGTCCCCTTGCAGCCAAGTGGCATATCCAAATCCTCCTGCTAAGCCCAGGTCTGCAGGAAAGCTGTACGATCAAAGCACAGCCTCTATAATCACAAACCTGCTTTTTCTTTTATTGCATTACAAATCCTGGAAGGGATGGACTAGGAATTCTGTGGTAAGATAATTTAAGACTCAAAGATTATAAAGAGCATCTCTGCAAACTGTTAAAGTCAGGGGACTTTCCAGATTTCGGACTGCAAGAAAACTCACGGGTTTTTTTCTCTTTCCCATTGCTGAGCCCTGCAGAGGAGCAGCACCCCTTGCTTTGGTCGGTGAGAACAGCAGCCACAAAAGACTTCTGTGTGTGGGTGGGGGAAACCACCAGCCACAAAAGACTTTATAACAGACCTGCAAGCATCACCTCGGGTCCATCTCTGCTGCAGTCCAGAGCATAACCTGGGGTCACTAAATCTGCGCTCCTCTGGCAGCGCGACGTACCCGCCTCATCGCAACCAGCCGCGGTCGGTGACATGGTTCGTGGCAATTCCTCCTTGGCTGTACTGCTGCCAAACTGAAGTCGCTTACATTTGGTTTTGCTTCACCTCCACCAAGCCCTGGCATCCTCCTCTGAAGCTCTTGCAGCGGCGAGCGCACTCCTCCCTGCCGCGAAAGGGCAGCGGTGTGTGGGGCGTGCAGCGTGGCAGAGGGGCCTGACATGGGTCCGTGCCTCTGGGAGGCAGCAGGAGCAGAGGGTGTCACTGTCCTGTGTCCTGTTTCCTCCTGGAGCTTCTCCCATTGGAGGCGGCAGATGTGGACGCGGGGCACGTGGCTGTGGTAATCCCTGGCAATAACCCATCGGTACAGCGGAGTATCTCCATTACAGAGATCTTCAAGCTCTGCTCATCAGCATTTCTCCCAGAAACCGGCACCCTGGACACATGCCCGTGCACCCTACAGGCCCTGCTCTCCACCAGCCATCCTCACTGCCTTTCCTGCTGGGCCTCGCTGGAGCCTGCCTTTGTGCTCCCAGCCCCGGCTCCCCCAGTGTGGGGGACGCACTGGCCTCCTGCCCCAGCCGTGGTCCTCACGGGGCATCGTGAGCCCCATTGCAGAGGAGGTCAGGAGCTTGGTGGAGTGGCTGCAGCCCCCGTCCCCTTCCCAGGGCACCATTGGCGCTGCCAGGACACCAGGCTACGGCTGTCCCAGCCTGCCGGGGCTCCTCCGGCACCCCCCTCTCCCTGTGCTACGACACAAACCATCTCCTTTGGGGCACCCGACCAGACAGGTTTCCAGTGTGGGACTCTAGAAACAACAGGTGATGGTGGGGAAAACACACTGGGTGGGTTTCAAACAGAGGTACCAGGAAATGAGAGTGGTCCGACAACGCGTGGTGAAAGGTACGAGAGACACGCTCCACAGCTCCCAGCGCTGTCGTGGTGCCAGCTGGGTTTTTTTTTCCTATGTACTTTACCCCCTCGGTTACAGACTGTACCTCCAGCATCACCACACAGATCTGTTTGACACACTGGATAATTGCGTCGGGTGTCCCCGAGATTGTCACCGCCCGCTCCGTGGAGTTGGGCAGCATGTCCCCCGCCACTTGAACCTGAGCACCTGTTGACTGGAGACAGAAAGAGAGAGGAGGAGAAATCCCAGAGCTGAATGCCTTTCCTTGCAGCCAGCTCCAGCTCCGAGGCTGTGCGCCTCCCGAGAGCTGCGCTGCCCCGCACGATGCGGCACCCTGCCTGCGTCCACAGGAGCACGCCGGCAAGGTCCCGTGGGATGCCGCTCCTACACCGGCAGGACCACCCTGGGAAGCAACGTGGTGCGTGACGCTAGCAGCACAAGGATCCCCCTTTCCAAGGCAGCTCCTCCTTGGTCGCAGATCAGCTCCACGGAGCTGCGATTACATGCAATAACGAAATCAAGTCTGACTTACCTCCCTGATTTCCTTGATCTTGGAGCCTCCTTTGCCGATCAGCGAGCCGCACTGACTAGCCGGCACGACCAGTCTCAGTGTCACCGGAGGTTTGCTGGTAGCAGTGCTGTTGCTCATTGAGTTGGTTATGTCCTTGGGATGGAAGAGTGCAACGTGTCAGCCCCTGGTACCCGCCCAGATGCCTGCCACCCAGGCCAACCCACGTGCCCCAGGCCAGAAAAGAGGGGTCACATCCCCCAGACTGCGGCTGGTCTCTGTCTGCCGCTGCACCACTGCGCATCCCTGCAGCCAGCTAACTGCGAGAGCTCTGGGAGAGTTCACTGAAGCACAGTTCTTGCCTAGTTGGAGATGTCTGGAAGGTTTTGTGCCGAGGTCGGGTACCAGTTAAGCAAGTCCAGCCAGGCACGCGTGGGTTGGAGGTACCCCTTGCCCCAGCAGTGGGCAAGCCGGAGCTCTGCTTGGCTGGTGGGCCACCGAGGGTCTGGATGCAGAGCCTTTTACTCTGCCCTCCTGGGGAAATGGGCTCGTGTTGCTCACCTCCTCAAATTTGTAGGCGATCATGGCGAAAGCCTTGAAGATGGCATCGGTGGGGCCGGTGATGGTCACGATTCGCTCTGGGCAGTTTCCCTCCGAGATGTTGATCCTTGCCCCACTCTGGAAAGAGAAGGGCAGCCCTGGAACAGCCACAGCCAAGCCACCCAACTTCCTCTGGGCCAGGTCCTGTCCCAGCCCGGTCCCTCGTCATCCTCTGTGCCAGCCTCTCGACGTCCCACCTAACCTTAAAAACTCCCATCCCTGCACCCTGCGGTGCTTCCAGCTCTGCTTTACCCTGACCCTCAGAAAGGGCTTCCATGCATCCGCTGTGGGGCTTTTACTGCAAAGCAAACCTAGCGATCAAGGCGGGACCAGTTTGTGGGATCACTGCTTGCAAAAAGAGGAGTCTTGCTTACTGATCTGGTAATTCCTTGGTAGCTGCAGGCACAAAGACCTTGGACAAACTCAAGCATCTTACGAGCGACTTAATTTCAATGTTTCATTAGGAACAAATTCTTGGCTCTGGAAAATGCCCATTAAATGTGATAGGAGTTTGTCTGAGTACAGAGTGAGAAGACTGCACCGAAGAGCTCTGGGCACAGCCGGCTTGCGTGTCCTGGCCCCGGGAGTCGCTGCACGTATCGCACGGGGCAACGTGCAGCGCTGGGTGCTGTGCTGCACGCTGCCAGGCAGGACAGCCCGACGGCCCTTCCCGCTCCTCTCCCATCCTCCCACAAATCCATCCACAGAGCAGGGCTGCTCACCTCCTCGCGCATCTTCTTCACGGTCTCTCCTTTCTGAAACAAGAAGCAGAAACGCAGGCTATTACTAAGAACTCAAGACTTCCACCTTCAAAACGACCCCTCCGCACACGCATCTCCCCAGTACGTGGCAAAGCATAGCCAGACGTTTGGGCAGCTCGGCGATGCCCGGCCCTCCATCCCCACGCCATGGGCAGCTGAAGAGCAGCCGGAGGGCGTAAGCCGTCGTAGCCCTGCTCCCCGCGTCTGTAGGACACGACAGACAAACCAGCTATGTGATTGCGGCTTCCACCTCCATTTCTATCTTTCCCATTAGGAGGGAAACCGCACGGGAAAAGCTCAGGAACTGATCAGATGTTGAGACAAGAGTGATTTTGAAGGGCAGTTATCTAGTACCTATACAGAGATCTAATATCTTTATATTCTGATATAAAGCAGGAACAACTGTGCATCTTTCCAGGGCTGGACAGGCTGATGGAAAAATAAGGTGCAAGTATATAGGAGAAGGTGTTCGTGCTGCAAATCTTTGCTACCACAAACCTGCCTTTTAAAACCCCCCCAAACCCCAATCCTGTGGAGCCAGGACCTTCCAAACCACCATGGCAAGCACCAGGGAGCAGAGCACCTCGTGAAGCTTTTCTGCTCAAGCTAAACGGTGTCCTGTGGCCTCAGAGAAAAGTGCTGCAGGATTTAAATGGGTCTGCATGACATTTTTTAATCTCTCTTAGCAAATCTATTTGATTAAAATTTCAGGACAGCACGATCATAAACACCTACTGGTCACCCCAGTGAAGCAGCTGGGAATGGCACTAGATAAGTTTGGTGGGGTTTTTTTTTTTAGGGGAATGGTCTTTGATCCCTCTGTGGGTCTCTCAACATTTCTGTCTCACAAATGTGGCAACAGGCTCACGCGCACCGAACATTTAAGGATGTTGCAGGGAAGAGGTGACTGGCATCCACCACACCACAGGCGGCAAACGGGAGAGACAATAGCATTAAATACATGTTTAAAAGTCATCCTTACCTTTCCAATGATGCTTCCGACTTCCTACAGAAAAAAAACCCAAACAAACACAAAGGAATCAAGATTACCAAACATGAAGATAATCCAGCCCAAGCCCATAACGAACCCAAGACGTGGGGCACCCTGTCCCCAGCAGAAGGACAGGGCCGGGGCAGGCTGGAGAGGGGCCAGGAGCACCATGCCACCATGCCACCCTCCCCATCGCAGGAGGAACCCTGCTCCCGGCACCGCGGGGCTGGCCAGACCCGGGCACAGCCGGAGCGGAGGCGGGAAGTGGAGCTGCGAGGAACCCCCCATTGCCGGGAGCCCCTTACCTTGCCGTGCATCAGCAGCCGGATGGTGAGGGTGACGTTCAGGCCGCCTTCGGAGACCTTCGACTCCATTTCCTACCGAGGGACGGGAGACGTGCGTTAGCTGGGAGGGCAGCCCCGGCACAGAACGAGACAGCACCGCGGCCGTATCACCTAGGGGCAGAGAGGGGGAAAGGTTTTATCTCAAAACAAGCCGGTTCCTCGACATGGGATGGACCCTGCAGAGCCTGGGCAAGCCACAGCTGGAGCAGTTGCAGGGAGATGTCGCGGGCTGAGCGCCTTAGTGGGTGCCGCTGGGGCTGGGCATGAGCCTGGGAAACAGCCCGCAGCTCTGCCGTGGCTTCGCCACTGCCTTGATGCAAAAGCCATCGCGGGAGCACAGACCAAAGCGTCTGAGGTGGCACAGCCAGAGGGCTAGCCCCCGTCCATGTCAGCCGAAAAGCAGCTGCACCGAGCGGAGCACGTGGGCAGGAGCAGGGAGTTGGTGGAGCAGCCTGGCCAAAGACCGATGGCTGAAATGGGACTTTAAAAGACGCAGGGCACCTATCGAGCAAACCAAAATTCAACATTCGAAGTGCAAACGGGCACTGAGAAAATCAAAAGCCAATTTTTCAGGAAATATCGGGAAATATCTATCTGAGCCCAGGAGCATGGAGCGGGAAGGACAGAGCTGGTGTCCCAGCTCTGCGTTTTCATCCTGACCCGCGAGCACTCTAGCCGGGCACTGCGTCGCAGGACCACGCCATTTCCAGCCGTTCATGCTTTGCACGTACATAATGAACCCTCTGCAAGCTTTCCCGGTCCTGTTCCTTTCCCTTCCCATTCTCTCTCCTCCTCTGCCCTCTAGAGGGAAAAACACCACAGATATTTTGAAGGCAAGGGAGAAAAATCCCAGAACAGCAATAAATCCTTCCTTTTCTTTCCTGACGCCTCCTCAGTAGCATCTCTGTGCGAGGACCACGCACGTGAAATGTCTCCACAGCCTCCTGCATGGGGAGAGCGGTCCTGTCTCGGAGGGAGGTGCCAGCATCCTTCTACGTGCAATGCCGAGAGATTTTTTTTTTTTATTTAATCCCTCAGTACATATCAGATGGGAGGTTTTTCATCCTGGTCACGAGCATCTGGCATTTTCCCTTGCTCAGGTGGGGACTTATGTGACCAAAAAATGGGAGGTACACCAGTTCTCAAGTATTACTCTAATGCAAAGAGGCAGTTGGGATGAATAAACATGCAGAAATGCACAAATCACAGCCGGGAAACGGGTTTGGTGTAAAACCTCTTCCAAGAGGTGATTATGAAACCCAAAATGGATAAAACCCGCATGGTTAGCAGGGAGATGCTGCTCCCACCAAGCTAACAGGAGACCACCTCACTGGGAATGAGGTTTCTTACAACTTACTTGCAAATGTTGATCTTGAGCCTGACGGATGTTACAAATGAAAAAAATCAAAATCCCTGCAGGAATGATAAGAAATGAAATGTGTTGAAGATGTCAAGCCAAAAGGCACTGTTAAGGGGGAGAATACTTCAGAGGAAGAAGGTGACAATGTTGAGGACCAGAGTAATGGAAATGGGCTGACACACGATAGCACAAGATGCAAGATCAGGCACTTCCAAGACTGAGCCCGCTGCAGGGAAACAAGGAAGGAAAATAAAGACCTGGTTGTGTTGGTTAACCCCGTGATGGTTTCTCTGCCTGGGAAGCAATGTGCTGACAAGCCCGAATGGGCAGATTCGTGGAGGTCAGCATTGCTGGTGCCTGCACCAAAGAGGTGTCCCCGCCGCACGGGGGGACAGCCGTCCCCGGGGATGTCCCATCCCAGGAGCAATCTAGCTGTGCCGCAGGGAAAGCAAGCAAGCCACGACGATGCTGCAGCTACCCATGAGGCTGGTGCGTGCTGAGGCAGCGGTACAGCTCCCCTTCCTGGCAGATGAGTCCTCTAACGGCAGAGCCAGAGGAAGGCGGAGGCTGTTCACAACCGGTGGTCAAGGTGTATGCACCGGCGGTGGCTCCCATGGCTTGCCAAGGCAATATTTGCAAAGCCGTCTTGCCCCGCACATCGCCCCGAGGGCTTTCTCTTGCAAGCCGCCCAACC